TAACTAGCTGTTCATATGCAGTATGGTGGAAAACAAGATGTTCTATTATTATCAGACGACGAGCCATACGATGCAGTTGTAATTGGCGCGATGAGTAAAGTCCTTGTAAAAGGGCTCGACAATTTAGTGCCAATACAAGAAGACGAATCTGGTCCAAGGTGAGATGATCTCTGTTGATTACGTGCCTCAATGAAGTACGTCTGGATCAGTCACTCCTACAGGAGAATGAACGTCGCTAGCATGTAGTTGATATGTGTTGACGCTTTCACGACGTGTGTGCTGCATTAATTCCTATACTAGGATGAAAAGGTCACAATAAAATATATATACGAAATAAATAAAAAGAAAAAAATAAAGAAAATAAATGTCTAATATTTCATCGGTTGGAGTTGTACCTGATAATATCCTCCCAAATCTGATTTTCAGGATCATCGACATTCATGCCCCTGACCGACCATTCCTCCCACGAGATTTCATCAATGCTGTGGTGAGCAGCTAGGAGATGGTGGTGGTGCCAAACTTATCTATGTGTGTTTGATGCCAGGCTCGCATTGGGAGCATATGGGGAGTCGACGGTCTTGATGAGAGAATAAGAAGCTTATGTGAGGTCGATTGTGATGATAATGATGATGATCCTTGGGAGTGTTATGTTAGAGAGTATGAGGTGAGTTTGGATATTCTTCGCTGTGCGTTACATGTGTTGGTCGGCTCAGGTGTTGATGGCAGTCGATGGTGAACTGCGAGAGATCTTCACAACTCTCGCACGTAGAGGAGGTGGCATGCGAACAGTTGGAGAGATGAATGGAGTGAAGGATGAGACTTGTGAGGAAGGGGGATAGTCTGTAAGGGCAAATATGTACATAGTCAACTACTGTAGTTGACTATGTACATATTTTCTGCATTTCTACTACATGGTAAGAGAATTTTATTGGTTTTCCTGAGCACTTATACCTGAATTTGCACTCAAACTTGTATAGTTAGTGAGAGGAAACTCAGCTGACTCACCTGAGAAAAGCGAACATGTATTCCAAGTCTAAGTTTTCAACAATGTGGTGAACAACAGTGAAATGATCGATTTTGAATATTCATTAGTAGAAAAACTTCTTCAATTATGATGGTTGACCTCTAGGTTCTCTCTCTACTGTTTTGCGAGAGCTCACAACATCCAATCTCATCGCGAGCGATAGTAAGGAGCAGGAATTTGTCGAGTCGAGGACAATGGTAAATCCCCCCGAGTCTAGTAAGAGTAAAGTGGCATGTGAGGTACGTAGTAGTGATAGCTCTCGTCAGGTAACGAGGAGGAGATGAATTGGTTCCTAGACGAATCCCCAATGGAATCCGAAGAATCGTTATGG